TGAAGCGCGCGGGGAGCGCAGCCCATCGCGTGTGGGTGCTGAGCGCTCCTCAGCCCCACCAACGTTCAGCTCTACCTGTTTGAAACCCCAGCTCTGCCATTCTCTCCGACACTCAAGGCCATTTGGATCCTCTGCCACCGTATTACGGGAGTGTTTACTTTGAGTTATTCCGCTGCAATAATTGTTATTAAAAGTCAAGACTTTAAGAAGCCGCGTTCAGATTTTCACATTCATTTGCAACGGTGCAGCTTAGAGGAATGAGCGTTTATGGGAGGTTAGGCAAAGAGGATTTGGCACTCTATTTTTAACACTTAAATAAAGCAAATCAATTACCATATCGCAAAAAGGAGCTATTGGTTAGTGACATTTTATGTAGATTTTCCATAGCATGTAAAAAGTGGCCTTTATTTTTCCTAAGCGATATTTTCTGCTTAGAGTCAAACTCTCTTCACGCAGCTTACAAAAATAAATACTTGTATTTTGCTAAGATCATAATAGCTCATTAGAAGAGGCTGAATTTGGACCTAGACTAAAACCTAACACCACAGGGCTGAGCGTGCTTACTTGAACCTCTAATGTTGCTAGTTCGCGCTCTCTGGGGAAGGAGAGGACTCGGGGAGAGGATTCAGCCTTCTTAATTGTGAACCTCATTAGTGACGGTTGCCAGGCAAAACACACACCTACTTTCAGTGCATACGAAAGAGATAAACAATACGTCATAGACCATAATGACTCTGGTGCTCAGGGCGACCTTTAATTATTATATTTTTGTTCTCTTATACCTTAGTTATTACTGCAGAAAAACAAATTAGTTTGGTGTGTGTGGACTGCAGCAGATTTGTAAATCGTTTTCCAGTTTTTGATGTCTAGCTCGTATTTCCTTCTGATAATTGTTTGCTCGCCTCATTCATTTCTCTGCGTGCCCATTGGTAAATACTATTTGAAACGTAAAATGACAATGATTGTATTAGCAGCTTAGTATTCTGTTATTACTTTAATTTTATTAGTGTAAAAAGCCATGATCCTGTCAATATGTTAGTAAAAACTCACAAGAGGAGGCCCACGGAAACTGATGCACGTGGCCTGGCCACGCAGCCGTACGACACATCGCAGTGGTTTTCAAAATCCTAACTCTGTAAGAAACGAGGGTGGGTTTGATCCCTGTATATTTAATTTTTGGTCAGCTCTGATCAGGCAGTTGGACTCGATGATCATTGTGGGTCCCTTCCAACTGAAATAGCCTATTCTTATTCTATTCTATTCTATTCTATTCTATTCTATTCTATTCTATTCTATTCTATTCTTCTATTTTCTATTCTATTCTATTCTATTATTCTATTCTATTCTATTCTATTCTATTCTTCTATTTTATTCTATTATTTTATTCTATTACTCTATTCTATTATTCTGTTCTGTTCTGTTCTATTCTATCCTATTCATCTAACCTAATCTATTCTTATTCCATTCCACTCTAATTTTATTAAGGAACAGGTTACCTGTTTGTACCTTTCCGTTGGTGCATTTTACAGACTGATATTTAAATAGAAGTTATTATTTGGGGATTTGTGGGAAAATAAATAGATGTATGCATGTGTACGAGCGCAGCTGCAATCGCGTGCCAGTGATTCGGAGGTTGATGGGGTCCAGAATGATAGTATTTCACAATTCTGGATTTTCAGAGACACTTCCCATTCTCCTCTTCATCTCAGACTATCTTCTTTTAGCAGTTCAGGCAAGAAGTCAATCACATTGAGTCAGTCTGAAGAAAAACATTTATGCTGTTTTTCTCATCCGAACCCCCTCCTGCCGTAATCTGCAGCAAGGCCCAGCCACAGGAAATTGACCTCACAGTAAATTCTTTACAGATTCAGTCATGTTTTTACCATCCACTTAAACTTGCATACATAACCTGAGACTGTACCTCTGGATCAAGGAATATGACAAGCCAAAATAAAATCAAGTCAAATTAAATAGCAAGAAAAAGCTGCAAGCAAAACAAGACTGAAAAAAAAAAAATAGAAAAAGATGAAAAATTGGTTGTGACTGCAAAACTGTAAGTATTAAATAAAGAAAGAAGTCAGAAGCAAATTCAGAAGCGACTGTATTCTGGTTGACAAGGGCTGAGAAATACTAATGGACTTTTGTAATGGGTGGTTTGATGGATGAGAGAAGAAATTATGTAAAAATAAATGTAGTAGTGTATCAACATAACGTACAGTGGAAAAAAAAAAAAAGGAGGAAAAAAAAAAAAAAAGCATTGCAAATAAAAAAAAGACATGTAAATGTGTGCCTACCATTTTCCAGATAAGAAGGGGCCGTACCTTCTGAGGGGTCAAGGCGGCGAGCCCGCCTCCCGTGTTTGGAATTGTTGTGTACAAACATGTTGTCTGAGACAGCCAGCACGTGGCCATCCACATTGACTGTTGTTGATACAACAACCTGAAAAAAGAAGACAAAAATGCACCTTTTAAAAAAACCCCTGCAGATTTTCAGAACCACGGATGCACAATCCCATCTCCTTTTAGGACAAAACAACAACACAGCCCATTACTTTTTTCTTTTTTTTTTTTTTTTAAGGAAGTGAATGACAACTATGAATGCATCTTTGTTTACGTGGCTAACACTGGTGATTTTTAACCCACAATTGTTTCTCTTCAGAACCTGCTACACTAATTAGAGATTAATCTCCTATTATGCTAACAAATGAATTGAATTCCGGGAAATATTCTTCTAGCCATTAGTTTCAGAAACACCCCTCTAGCCACTCATTTTAAAAGCTGCTGTTTTGATTGATCTGTTGATATATTGATTAGATAGTTTATCTAATTAAAATTTGTTCACTTGAGACTGTCTTCAAATGAAGGGTTGTGAGGATTCCAAATAAAAAAAAGCTTAATAAATCAGGAACCATCGTAACTCCCCATTTTTTCTTCAGTAAATGATCTCCAGGTCAGTTTTACAATTACATTTAATGTCTGATAATGAACTTTTTTGCATCTGAAAAGGCCGAGTTGAATATGAATAGTGAAAGTGTTTTCAATCCATGAAAAGTATCCCTTCTCAAGTTCATTTGGATGGTGATTGACCCTGGTATGTCAATGGAATTTCCTCCTTTATTTTTGAGTGAAAGGCTCCTATTCTTGTGTCCAGGTTCAGAGTCCGGCCATAGAAGAGATGATGGATAGGGCCTTCTTTGGCTTCCAGCTGCTTCTCAGTAGAAAATGGAAAAGGAACATATGCAAAACGCACAACCTTCCCGATAAAAACACCTACACAATGGAGTTGTGAAACTCCTTCCGGAAACGATATCGCGTGAACACAAGCCAAAGAGGAAACCCTGAGATGTGCCTGGGTTTGTATGGAACACAGCTTCATAGGTCGATGGCTCATATCCCAGATAGACATTTACATCTTATTTAAATACTCCAGCATGGGCCCTGCAACGTGGGTTCCAGAGGTTTCTAACTGAAGTAATCACTGAAGCATTTTCTTTGTGGTTTAACGTTAGTAGAGTCCTTGAAGTCAATGGCTGGTTAGGCCTTATCAACCCTACTGGTGATGGCAGCAACAGCTCAGATGCATTTTAGCTTCTGTTTTCCACTTATTTTACTCTTGGCTGGAACAAAAATGATTGCCAGGGTTCTCACGCCAGCTCCTGTACCCAAACACATAATGAACAAAAAAATGAAGGGGCAAAACTAGCCTTTTTTTTGTTTGTTGGTTTGGGTTTTTTTGCACAGAGCTATTCCAAGGCATCAGAAGAAAATTCTTGTTGGCTTCTATGTTTTGGATCACCTCTGATCCTGTTTCTTATTCACAATCCATAATTAGCTTTCAGCTACCACAGCACCTTTTTTCTGTGTATCCTGCCTCCTTTGAGACAGCCATCTGCGGTACCCTTTCCAACAGCCCGAGGGCAGCTCTCTGCCAGGCTGCTTTGCTTCCCTACCTCTCTCCTCCCAGAAGTGGACACTTTCACTCTTGTCAACATCCACTTTGGAGAGTGCTGAGGTTGCACACTCACCTCCTGCCAGGCCACCGGGCTATCTGCTTTCACTTTTAATGAGATTGGCAGACTTTAAGAAATATTGCCAAACATACAAGTGTGGTTTTCAGCAAAGATTTCTGGATTTGGTTCCTAGAACAAGGTATATTAAAAAGACAGAGAAAAGCGTATATAAAAATGACAACTATTTTTGTTCTGTCATGTATATATAGGTCAGTCACCAAGGGAAAATACTGTAGTTCAGCAAAAGAAAGTAGACATGCTACGCTTTGTTCTATTGGTTTATTCCTGCAGTGCACCTAAAGAAAGGTGCTGAGACAGTGAAACCAGTTAAAAATATTGTTCAAGATCTGACACACTGTTAAGTCCAGTTAAACCTTCTGAGAGGCAGGGAGATTAGCTAAAGAGACCCAGGAAAGTCTTTCTAGTGCCTACTGGCTCCATTGTCGACCACAAGATCACTCATGACTGATGCTTCATTTAGTCATCAGTGAGACAAAGAGGACATTTCCACTCATTCCAGGTTTGACCTTCTGTTCTGTTCAGATGGATCAATATCACCAATGCCACGTGAAGCTGAGATGCATGAAAAATGGAAGCTTGGCTCAATTGTTTTGAAGAAATACTTTTTTTTTTTCCCAGCTACAGATCTTTTCTGTTGGCTGGCTCAAGGGTGCTGGCTTCACTGGTTGGTTGGCTGTGCACAAAAACAGATGTCACATGTTTTGCTATCAAGTTTAAACACAAGTTGCTCTTTTCAAAAATAAGAAAGTTTTGAACTCCTCAATACTAGTGTATTATTAGCCTCAAATATGAATCATTGTGAAATAGTTTGAAATAAAAAGCACATATATTTCCTAACAAGCATTTCAAATGACCCCAAATATGGAGGAAATCATTTGTCCATCACATCAGCTGCCTCTCTGTAGCGTTATGATTCACCACAGGATATTTCAAAAGCTGTAAGGAGAAAGTGAAGCATTAAACATTTTCTAACACAATTGGAATAAAAATATGTAGGTTGGACCACGAGTTGGATTTACGAGTTGTGAATAAGAAGAAACCCCTGTGTGAGATCCAAACTTCATGGGGCTCCACGGTCATGTCTGTTAGTAAACTTACGCTACTCAGTCTATGTGCAAAACTTCTGCAGGTCTGAGCACACACCAGACTACAACACCAGGGTTAGTATGAAGGAAAACTGTGGAAATACTGTCTGAGGAGAGACCCACTTCCTCCAGCACTGATCCATTCCAGTCCACTGTAGAACATGGCGAGTCCCAACAACCAGCACTTAAATTAGTGGGGAAAATGTCAAATATCAACTGTATTTTTTTTAAAGGCACACAGCATTGGAACTACACTAAGTAGAAGTACTGATACTGGGTTTTTTTCATTAAAAAAGTTCAAGATGAAGCCATGAGTAAGTCTTTTATATATCATTTATTCTTTAAGAGGGATCTGTACCTGGAATCTTCGCATGTCTCGTGGGTTGCCTGCATTCTTCAAACAGTTCTGATTGCACTTGAGGAAAAACTTTAGAAAGAATCTATAAAAATATAAAATTGAAATCTATTAGATTCATCAAAATGTAAATCTAATTTTTAAAAAGTTTAATAAAATTTAATCATAAATAGTTATACCCAGAAGAATACTGGTAGTGAAATATTACTTTCCTATTAGTTAATGAACTTATTTTAAAGCATAAGATCTCTGTCGTAAACAGAACGTTATTGCCAGGGAAAGGCAAATTTATATTTTTAATTTTTCAACAACTACACATGTATTGACTCCAGGCCATATCCTTAGCTTGGTGTGGGAAAGTTGATTTCAATGACTCATTGACTTCAAAGGCAATGACTTACACCAGATGAGAATTTGTCTCTATTTTTTTTAATACCTTTTATTTTTTCCACAACTTATATTAGCAGTAATGACCTCTATGTCAAAAAATTCCAAGGTAATGAATGATCAGTCTTCTGAAAAACACTTGGCTTTGCCTCCGGTTTGGAAATTCTCGCTATTCAAAGGGACTTGATCCAACTCCTGCTGACTCCAGGGAGATCCAGGCGGGATCTGCCCACTGGCAAGGCCCCCGTTCCCTCCTTGATTTGAAAGGAAGGAACATGGCAAATTAGGCCCTGTCTTATGACCTCTTCAACCTTTGCCAGCCTTTAACTGTGAGGAATCACTCTACCCAGGGATGAAAATCCAGCTCACTTTAGCTGAGCGGCAATCAACAATTATTTAGGACTAACCCTCATCAACCCAACTGGTTTTGTAGCAACGCTGCCTCCCAGGGACAGAGAGAGCATTTATAGAAAGAGGGAAAGCTTGGAAAGGTGCAAACTCCTTTATTCCACCCTCCTGTACTGGAGGAACAAGCTGACATGGGATGTCTTCTCCACCCTGCAGACCATGCAAGATGACCCTCATGTAAGAGGATGTTCACAGCCTGACACCTGCTCTTTTCTTTCTGTAGCTAAGTTTTCACATTTCATAGTTTAAAAAGTGCTTTGTGGGTCTGGTTGGCAGCTCATGACTGACAGCTAATGACAAGCAAGGCTCAGGACTTTCTCCTCACCCAGAGCTCCTCAGATGCACCAGCCCAGCAGCTCATGCTGACTGACTTCATACATGTTGAACAGCGAGGTTAGGCAGAACTTCTACATTTAGGATACGAACAACTATTATTTATTCATCTTTGTAAGTGACTGTGACTATTCTCGCTGTGTACACCTCAGAGAAGATTCCATGTGCCAATAGTGCTCCTGGTAAGATGCAAGCCAGGCAACTCTTCCCTTCTTCAGCACCCATCATGGCCCAAGTGTGGCCAATAGAATTGAATACTGCTGAGCTTTGAAGGTCAGACAGGAGCATTATGGGACTGTCCTCATATCACAAACTGGTGCTTTTAACCATCAGTTGCCTTTTCAGTTAAACCTTGAGCAGGACCCCAATATTAATATAGGATGCTAATGCTGAAGGAGCAATCTCTCATATCAGAGAGGCAAGGATGGAAATGACCAGGTTTCCTGAAACTGCATAAATAAATCGATGCTGTCAGTTCAGCTGAACACACTCTTCTTTAAAACTTCCTATCCCAAAATGTGTAAAGGGGTTTTAGCTGTTCAGCTGAAAGAGCTGGATTTCCACCATGGTTGACGTGATCTCCTAGCTCAGGTGCTCAGCTGAACTCAAGTTTTCTGGACACTGTTGCAGGGACACCATCAATGACTCTGCGAAACCGCATCTTTGCTGGCTGCACCTTCACCCTAATTTTATCTACCTTGGCTTTTGAGGCTTTTTTAAGATACTTAGAATCTCCAGATCAGTTGAGTACCGGCTAAATGTAATGGCATTTCTGTCATACTCTATTCTTTCTTGCATGCCTTCCACTGCAGGGACTGTGATGGTGTGCAAGGCCCAGCTGATGCCCACATCAGTATGGGACCACCAGGTGTCCGGGAGTCAAGAGCTGGGACGAGCCTCCAGCTTCCCAGCTCCTTAGTGTCACAGCCAGGCTGAAGAGGAGTATCCTACCTATTTTTTTTATGTGTGTGTGATCTCAAATGGGTGTTGTGAGGCTTATTGAGCTAATGTTTGTAAATTACTCTGAAATTCTCCAATGAATTGTGCACTAGGAATGCTAAGTATTGCTCCTCATGGACTGTTTTCAACATGAAGCACTCGTGATGAATTGTTTCTATACAGAGAGCTCACATCCTGTCAAAAAAAAAAAAAGGGCCATTAAGCACCGTTTCACTAAACATCAACTGGAATTGCTATTTGTTCATTTGGTGAAAAAGACCCATGCTTGGTGGAATTAGACATCTTCAAGTTTACTAGGTTGAACCTGAGTGTTGGGCTAAATATTGAAGCCACAAGGCTGGAGTGAACACAAGCAGGAATCATATTTCAGCTCTGCTGCATTTCTTGCTACTGAGATATTTTATTTTATTTTTTAATTTATGTTTTCAGAGAGTTCATGGAGCATTAAGATAAGATTTTCAGAGGAACACAACACAAGTTAAAAACCATGTTCCCAGGCAGGGCATTTCTCAAAGCTTGCCAGTAGAAGACAATTGACTTGATCGCTCCTCTCAGCTGGCCAGCAAGGACCATGGATGCTCCAAACCCATCCCTGGGGCAGAGAGAACAGAGCTAGATGCTTTCTCTGTGAGCCCTGCACTCCCAAGACAAGATCGCTGCAACACAGTAAGAAGCAAGGAGCTGGAGCTCAGGTTGGTCATGTCTCAAACTTCACTGCTACCAACAGAATAAGAATGCAAACCTTTCTAGACTTGCCTCTCCCAGCTATATTTTGCATTATAAGCACAAATGTAGTCTTTTTAATAAATACAGTCTTGCAGAATAGCTTTCCTAAACACACTAAGCTGTTCCTAAAACACTGATCTGGAGAAAAATGCAGTCTTTGTGATGTTCCTTTGCTCTGATTTTTTTCATGCTGCTAGAAAGGGGACTGCTACCATCTTAATTAAAATGTATGACCTACCACAAGACTTCAGTATTTTAAGATAAAATTTACATCTTTTATTAACTCACCTCACCTATACACTTAGCCCACGATGCCTCTCAACGCCCATCTGCCATCCCCGTACAGTAAGTCACTTGATATTCCACCCACCAATTTTTCCTAACAACCACTGTGCAATTAAACTCAACACGTTCTGTTGCGAGGTAAATTAGGCACACCTGCGGCCAGACTTCATTTGAACTGCATCAGAAAAGGACCTAACAAGGTGAGAGCGTACCACAAAGTTATAGGCCTGTCAAGCAATTAGGTTTTCACTTCTGGGACATCCGCACAGTGCAATTATGCTACACATTACAACCTGGCTAATCTTCTGAACAAATGTCATGTCTCGGAGAAGCTAGTAAAAGCAGTTCATCTGCAAATGTGGCTGCTCTTAAGCCTCCACCTTATGCACATAACAACCTAGGGGAGACTTTTTTGTGATATGAAAGATGAGGTTTTTTCCATCGAAGATTTTTTAAACCCTGCAAGTGCCTTTTCATCCTTTTCACCTCTTCTTAACCTTTTTGAGAGGAGGTGTTGTAGCAAATAGACCAGAAAGGCTTTTGTACTTGAATTTCAACACTAAATGAGAAAATACTTGCTATTATAAGCACAAGCGGTGGCCTTAGTTTGGTCCGATTCAAATATTGTTTGGTTAAAGGAATATTTGTGGTGGAAAACCACCTATTATATCCTAGAAACATCATTAGTAAAGTGTATTTCCACCAAACCCCAAACAGAAGCATCATTCATGCAAAGAAACCTCAGCAGAAAAAAAAAGCAGGAATTAAACATTTAATTCTTTTTCTATCAGACACTGAGTGTGATTGTCCTGGAGACAATACCCCAAACCACAATCTGCACTGACAATAGGTGAGATCTCTGGTAAGGAAATCAGCCAAAACCTGCAGTGACAAGCAGCCTCCACCTCTTTATCACATAAGATTTTCCCAACATCCAATTCAAACCAGACAGAGGACAAAAAACTGCATCAGACCTGCCGGCACCATTTTGCTTTACCCCAATAATTCTGTTTTATTTCCATCTCTATTGCAGGTACACAGCTAGTGTGTTCGATTAAACCTACAGATGAGATCTTGCTGTCCTACAAAATACAGAATTGTTAAGGTATGACAAGCCTGCTCTACTTCTATGAGTAAAAAAGCTCGGATTTGGATCATTATCTGCGATTCTGAAGTTCTTTGGTAGAGAAGCTGTCTGCAGGGGCACAGCGCTGTTATGGGGTGGAGGCAGAAGAGAGCAAGGGAAGAGGAGACATTTGAAGTCAAATGGTAATTCTCATCCTTTACTCTATTACCCTTTAATTGGCTTTTTCCTAAGAAATATCTGACAACCACTTTGCATATCTCTTTTCTAGAGCCTAGTAAACAAAGGATTTAATACTCTTGTTATGAAAGGAAAAATCTTTCCTCTGTCAGAAAATCTTTGGCTTCAGCACCAATAAACTCTTTATTACTGCTAAACTTGGATTTGCTGCTCGATTGCAAAGAGGCGATAAAAACTCTAACCTGTCATTAGTGCATTATGCTTAATTGTGTACAGTATGTTTCCAGTTGCATCTGTTGGCCCATTATCAAAATGACCATTATGTACACTAATTCCCTGACCCTGTCTTTATTTCCCTAAAGAGTCATAATCTTTCACAGTAGGTATCAGAGTAAATCAAGCTTGAAATACGGGCTTTATTTACTTGTTTCTCCCAGGCAGAGTGGAAGACAGTAGCTAAAGACAAACTGCTGTAGATAAGTAGCAACTACGTTGTAATATTCTACTTGGAGAAAGGGTGGGAGCTCCTGGGTGACCACTGGAAAGCAGAAGATGTCACCCCGTTTCCTCTCCAGTTTGCTTCTCTGTAGTTACCGGAGGTAACGTAAGGATAACGAAACTAAATCTCTGGTTTATAGTTCAACTTCAAGAGAAATAAAAACAATGTTTGGAAACAACAAAGCTGTTCAGACCATAGGCCTTGCTCTTCCACCTGTTTTACC